ACAAATTAAGAGCAAGTAAAAGTCTCAAGTTCGTTTTAAGTTTAATCTTTAAGAGAAACTAGGAATATCCATAAATTTCAATCGAAGAACGGAGTCTACATTTTACCCCTGTTCTGCGGTCTTCGTCTGAATTTTACGCTCGGTCTGCGGTTTGCAGTCTGTGTCTTACGCTGACCGGATTTGGTACAATTCATTTAGAACTTCAAAGTTAATTTATTGGGAGTCCAAGAGATTGATCTGCCTAAGCAGAGACCTGCTCTTTAAATGGCTAAACTCTGTATCTGACTTTTTAATGCTATGGGTGCAAATGTTTACACTTAACGACATTCATACTGCACACAGAAATTCTCTTCGATTAGCCTGAATCGCTCGAGAAGATGTCATGTCACATCGACGGGAAATTAATCAAGCAAACCCAACAGCCGTTGGTATCAATAATGGCGATCTTTTAAATGCTGATATCTTGGATCACCTAACCCCAAAAGCTCAGGAGCTATTATTTAAAGCCAAAAACTTTAAGAACATGTAAAGCTATGCTTATTGCTGGGAAAAGAACCAAGCCATCTACCTATGGAAAACTGAAAACTGGGAATTTTAAGCAAAAATTTGAGGCTACTTATATAAAATAAATACTAAATATTAAAAAAATCCCAGCTAAAATTCAAGTATTCAATGAAATTTATCTACAAGCCTAATTAAGGTTTAGGTGTAAAATATTTTGATTGTATTATTAATATTATGATGGAATTTGATTTATTTTTCTTTTCTTAAAAACATCATATGAATTAATTTTTGGATAATATTTGGATAAAACTCTTGTGTGTAAACATTCAAATGTAAGCGGTCAAGCAGCACTTTCATGTTTTACTCTGTTTTTGTTGATTCTGCACATTGAAATTAAAAGATTTCTTCTCAAATTTTGACCTAGCACTCTTGGGAGTGAAGGGGTTAATTACAGTTAAATAGAATTGATATTTTGATTAAAATCTTGTTGTAACTGTTACAATAAATTAGAATGAAGTTATATTAAGCTGCAGACTTAGCTGCTGATCGTCTTTTTTTCCTGGGCTCACAGCTTTCCCTGTTGGCCTTGAATGAGGTTGTTTACAAGAAGCTTGACTATTTTATATCTGGATTCCATGACATCTGAATTTGAAAAAAATATACATATACATATATATAAATATATATTAAAAGCTCAGCCAAGGCCTTAGATAGCTATAA